CGGCCAAGCGCCACCACCGGAACAGGGCACGATGCTTCTGGAACCCAACGGTCCGACCGCCAGCAAACCTTCACGCAGCACTTTTCGGCGGCTGCACGGCAACCTGACGGCGACCGTGGATCGCCAGCATTAACGCGATGCACAACTAGCGTGCCAACCACCTCGCCCAATCAATCCAGCACGCTCACGAACAGTCAATTCGAATGCTTGACGAGCTCCACCGTGCGCAAAAGGCCTCGGACGACTTGCAGCAAACCTTCCGGCCTGCTGGTTCCCTAGGGCCGTCCTTCGAACATTCAAGCCCTCCCTGCTGCTCAACGTGCGGCACACCAGTGATAGCGCCCCTCCTCCCGTGGGTTTTGAGAACTGTTGGCCCAAATTCCGCTGCCCTCTTGTTTCGCCGCTACGGGGGCTGCAAAGCGCCGTGTCACGCATGCCAAAGCGTGTGTGCAGCCGGCGTCTTTCTGTTCGCGGCGGTGCAGACGGGGCAAACCTCGCCCTTATCGCCACGCCCCGCTCTTGCTTGCCAGTCGGACTCCCCACAAACCGCGCCTGGGGGGAGGGTCGTCTCCCTACCCCTGTTCTGACAGCGGTACCTCCTGCCACATGAGGTTGGCGCGGAGGGCGCTTGCAGCCCTCGCGCCAGACGGACTCCGGCTCGCCGAACTGTTCCGATCTCTCTCTGTCTCTCTCTCTCTCTGTGTCTCTCTCTCTCTCTCTATCTCTCTCTCTCTCTTCCTCTGTCTCACTCACTCCCTCATTCACTCACTCTCTCTCTATATATCTATACTATATATTCGATTATCGCTTTCTCGTGTATGTTCCCTTCTCCCTCTCTCTGCCTCTTTCATTTGTCTGCGTTTCTTTCTTAATGTCTTCCATTTATTGTTACATCTCTCTATCTCTCTGACGACTCCCCTGAGGTGCTGCGTGATGGCGGCGGTGACCGCGCTGACTGACGGACGCAGCGATGTCGGCGGGAAGGGAAGGCGAGAAGAAGATGCGGTCAAGGAGGGTTACGGTCAGGAACTTCGGAATAGCGTGTCGCGGAGGCGGCCCCAGCGACAAGCTACGCTCTGCGAACGGATAGCGTGTCGCTCCGCTCCGCGGGGCGGGAGGCTGGAAAAAAAAAGCACGGGACGCTGACGCTGGCGGGCTGGGAAGTGGATAGCGTATTGCATCAGGACGTGGCGGGTCACAACACAATCGGCGGAGCTACACGCTATCCCAGAGTTCCCGACCGTAGGATCAAGGGGTTGACGTCGGACAGGAGGGACATCTGCAGAGCAAGAGAAGAAGAAAGGACACGAGGCGGAATTGGAGGGCGAAGCCGGGATGGGGAGGACCAGCAGCAGGGCAAGCAGGAGTACGAATGGGGAATGGGGAGGGGGAGGGGGGACGCGCCAGGTGCGCTCGCGCCACACTTGACATTCCATCCCTCCCTCCCAGCCCTTCCCATTGAGCGGGTTTGTTCTTTGTCCGCGGTTGCGTGTCATAGCCGACTTGGAGCTCAATAAGAGAGAAGTTTGGGGGACAGGATGGGCAGAAGGACGAAGGTAGGAGGAGGGAGAACGGGAGGTGGAAGGTAAACAATGTGTTTCTTCTTGACTGCGTGGGAAGTGAAGAGAGGAAAGGGACGAGGACGAGACGGACGATGAGGGGGAGGAGGAGGAGGAGGAGGAGGAGGAGGAGGAGGAGGACGAGGAGGAGGAGCGAGGGAAGTTGGTGAGGCCGAACTGGCGTAGATTCGCACAATTTATATGAGAAGCGGGACCGACGCATATGTACATAATAATATTTCAGCATGCGCAACGTATGTGCACGCCAGTCAAGACGAACACTCCACTCCAGAGGCGGCTGGGAGTCCCCAAGCGGTGCTGTCCACGGAGGTTTATGGAGGTTCCAGTGGCGGCCTCCAGAGCGACCCCTCGGAGTTTCTGTAGCGCACAGAGCTGTCAAAGCGTGCAAAAACCTCATTGCTCGAACTCGAACCTCCAGGGGCTTCCGAAGCCTGCACAAGGCCACACTTCACCAAAAACCCGGACCCTCGAACCCAGAACCTCGAAGTCGCAAAGGGATCGGCTTGTGCAGTCGGGAACGGATTGGCCCGAGTCAGCGCTAACCCAGGTCAGCAAATGCCATGCCGCGAACCCAGGCTGGCCGCACTGCAGCAGACTGTAGCACCCACACCCAGGTCAGACAAAGGGGACTGGCTGAACCCCCGTGAGCGCCGACCCCGCCATCCGCCCACCACTCGGCTGTCGGGCCGTGACGCGGGCCTTCGGCGGCCCTTCGGGAGACGCCCGGCATCCCGGGAACGCCCGAGACGAGGCACGGTCGGCGGAACCCGCCCAGGCTTGGCGACCCGCGGGGAGGGGCCCTCGTCGATCTCGCAGAGGCCCGAAGGCGCGACGGCGACGAGCTCCAGCCGCCCGTGGTCGATGGCCAGGGGCTGGAGCCGCAGGAACCCCGTCTCGCTGTGCAATCCCTCCTGGGACTCCTGCGGCGCGGGCGGGCCCCTCGAGGATCGCCTCTTCGTCCTCCTCGTCCTCGTCGTCCTCGTCGCCCTCGTCGTCCTCGTTCTCGTCGACGTCCGTATTCTCTTCGTCTTTGCCGTCGTCCTTGTCCTCGCCGTCGTCGTGCTCGCCCCCGTCCTCGTCGTCGATCAGAGTGACTCGGAGAGCTTCCCAGAGTGCGAAGCTACAAAAACTAAGACAGTTCTGGAGCGCCGACAGGCTGGTTAACCGACGACGGCCTCGACTGACCTTTTCATAACACGAGGGTAGTTGAATCGGCAGCTTGAGATTTGACCACTCGTTTGGGCTGTTACAGTCTTCTGGACAGCTAGGATAGTATTCCTGTGCACCATCCTCATTTCAGGTCAATCCTATCGTTTTGAAGGGGGAGCAATGTGAAGGCGGTCGGGCGCCCTGTGAACATATGTTCTGTACACGTGTGTCTTTTACTTGATCTCGAGATTTTTGGCGTCCAAAACACGGATAGCAGAGCACCGCAGCACCGCAGAAACCATCCGAGCAGCAGGTAAGCTTTGTTTTGGGAGACGCTTGCAAGGACCCTTGAAAGGATGCCTGGAGAGAGCTTGCAAGCTTGAAGAATGAGACCCGCGCATGAGCCCAGGAAACGCTGCGAAGGAGCTGCGCAAAGGCTTACTGCACACGTATTGGGAATGAGTAGGACAACGCTCCTGGACAAGCTAGAGGGCCCACCGAATCGCTGCGGGGATGCCTGCCCGGTAACCGTGGAGATGAGATGGCCTACCCTTGCCAGCCGCCTTTGTCTCTAAAGCCCTACTTAGGTCTCCAGGAGCTATCTTGGAATTTCGGGCAGCTTCTGAGCTCTTCCGTGAATCGTCCGATCGGGCAGCGTCAAACGAATCGGTCTGCAAGCTGAACGGCGACGAGGTAGGCCCCGCACTTGAGCTAGAAACGAACAAGTGGTTCCGCACTGCAACTGTGCTGTTGCTGCGTCGAGCTGCTTTTCGACTAAACCTCGGGGTCTCGAGCACTTACTACGGAGCCCTTGCGGAGGTCATTACATCGGGCATCGTCGAAAACATCAGCCTACATCCTTGAGAGCGCGGAGATCAGCCCCCTAATCGAGCCCTACTCGAAAAAATAATTCCGCGCTGCAGCTATTCTGCTGTGTCGAACTGCTTTTCGACTAGATCTCGGGAATTAGAGCAGCTATAGAGAATCATTAGGCATACCATTGGATCGGGCATCGAACCTGCAAGCTCGAGGGCGCCTGAAAAAATGCACTTGACCCATACTCGCAAAACACCCGCGCTGCAGCTATTCTGCGCGATTCTGCTGTGGCGAGCTGTGTTTGGACTGCATCTCAAGAATTAGAGCAGCTGCAGAGAGATCAAGCACACAGCCAGACCGGGCATCACCGAACGAATCAGTCTGCATTATCGAAGGCGCCGAGGTCGAATCCCTACTCGAGCTCTGCTCGAAAAACTAGTTCCGCGCTGCAGCTGCTCTGGTGTCTCGAACTGCTTTTCAGCAACAACTCGGGACGTTGAACAGCTGCATAGTCCTTTGGCATAACATCGGATCGGGCACCCTCGACTGCAGCAGCCTGCAACCTCAAGGGCGCCGAGACAAGCTACCGACTCGAACTATACTCGAAAAAACTAGTTCCGCGCTGTGACTAGTATGCTGTGTCGAACTGCTTTTCGACTAAATCTCGGCATTGAGGGCAACGCAACTGCATAGTCATTCGGCATACCATTGAAGTAGGCATCCTCGAACGCATCAATCTGCAACCTCGAGGGTGCCGAAGTCGACGACCTACTCGAGCTATACTCGAAACACAAGGCTCCGCGCTGCAACTATTCTGCTGTGTCGAACTGTTTGTCTACTCGGGATTTAGAGCAGCTGCATAATCATAAGGCGTAGCCTTGGATCGGGCATCGTCAAACGCGTAAATCTGCAACCTCAAAGGAGCCGAGCTTGGCCCCCTCCTCGAGCTATGCTCGAAACACTCGGTTCCGCACTGCAATTAATTCTGCCGTCGAATTGCTCTTCGACAAAATCTCGGGATGCAGAACAGCTGCAGACTCATTTGGCATGCCAATTGGATCGGGCATCGTCGACTGCATCAATCTGCAACCTCGAGGGCGCCGAGCTTGGCCCCCTTCTCGAGCTAATCTCGAAACACTAACTTCCGCACTGCAGCTATTCGGCTGTGTCGTATTGCTCTTCGACAAAATCTCGGGATGTAGAACAGCTGCAGACTCATTGGGCATGCCAGTTGGATCGGGCAGCGTCGAATGCGACAGTCGGCAACCTCGAGGGCGCCGAGATGGCCCCGTATTCGAGCTAGACTCTGACAAGTAGTTCCGCGCTGCAGCTATTCTGTGTGCAAATTTGCACTGGAATTAATCTCGAAGTTTTAGAGTCGGCATGGGGCCCTGCATATCGTGCTAATACAACAGAAATTAAGCTCGGAGAGCTTCTGGTGGTAACCAAGGCTGACGGTTCACTGCCAACATCTCGTTCCAGAACCGAGGACCCTCAAACCCTTTGGGGCCCCATGCCACGGCTCGACCAGCAGCGAAATTGTGGTCAGACCGCGCCCGAGGACGGGTCTGGAGGTCGCCCATTGTCACCCAGAGAAACCGACTAGCTGTGAAATATGAAAAGGGAGACTCGCGTGTTACACGACCCACACGGATGTAGGACCACAAACGGGACATGCAGAAGAGAGGCGGGAGCGTAGAAGCGAAGCGGAACATGGCATGCAGTGGCAGGCAGCGAAGGCGAGGCATCATTCTGATCTGAATACTACGCCACCCAACTGGACCCCCTCAGCAGCGATCGAAAGTGGCGACAGTTTCGCAGTTCGCAGTCTCCAGAAAGTATGGCGAAATCTACCATGGGTCCCCATATGACGCTACTCCGCTGGACCATCCCTCCCAGCAGCTCTCGAAGCTGGCGACAGTTTCGCAGCGCGCAGCCACCCCCGCAGAGATGGCGAGATTAATCAGGGCCCACCGTACGACGCAATGTTGTAGCTTGCGAATCCCCAAGAAAGGTGACGTCAAATCTGACTCTGCGCTTGGTAACCGCTACGCTGCCCCCTTCCAGCAACTCTCAAAAGCAGCGACGGTTTCGCAGATCGCACCCCCCCCGGGATGGCAAGGTCTAGTCTGAATCAGCGCTCAGTGCCCACTATGCTGCCACCCAAAAAAAAACCCATCGAAAGTGACGACAATTTCGCAGTTCGCAGTGCTCCAGGGGATATGGAGGTCTATTCCGAGTATGTCCCCTGTTCCCGCTTCGCTGTCCTTTCCAGCAGCCCTCGAATGTGGCGGCAGTTTCCCAGCTTGCTGCCCCCCAAACAGCACTCGAGCATGGCCAGGTCCAATCTGAGCCAACGCTCGATACCCACGATGTTGCTCCCCCAAACAGCCCTCGAACCTGGCGACACTGTTGCAAGTTGCTGCCCCCCCGAAGATAATGATGTTTAATCTGAGTTTCCGCTCGATACCCGCTATGCTGCCCTTCAGCAACCTTCGAACATGGCGTCAGTTTCGCAGCTCGCAGCCCCCTGGGATGGTGAGATCTAATGAGTCTGCGCTTGGTACACGCTATGCTGCCTCCACATCAGCCCTTGAAAATGGCAACAGTCTCGTGGTCCAGTCTGAGGTTACGCGCAGTACCCATTAGGCTGCCCCCCCAACTGCCCTCGAAGAAGCGACCGTTTCACAGATTGCACCCCCCCAGGGATGGTGAGCTTCAAACTGACCCTGCGCTCGGTACGCACTATGCTGCCCCAGCAGCCCTCAAAAGTGACGACAGATTCGCAGTTCGCAATCCCCACCCCTTTAGCGATGGCGAGGTCTAATCTGAGCCTGCGCTCGGTACCCGCGACGCTGCCTCCCCAGCAGCCCTCGAACGTGGCAGCAATTTCGCAGTTGGCAACGCCCCCCTTTTTTTGCCCACCCCCCGCAGAGACGACCCACAGAGGGAGGCGATAACGACGACGACAGGGGAGAAGGACAGGGCGGAGGAGGCGACTCCGCGGGCACTACGGCCCCAGGGGGCAGCAACGTCCACCCCGGAGGGCCGTGCTGAACCCTTGCCTGGCCGCCACCTCAGGCCGCGACCGCGGCCAACCCGCCTGCCGCCCGGCGGCTGCTCCGCCCTCGTGTTTCTTTTACGGCGGCTTTGGCCAGCTGCACCGCCCCCCAAGGACTTTTACGGCTGCGACGCCCCCCCCCCAGGGATACGGAACTCCAATCTGAATCGGCGCTCGGTAACAGCTACGCTACCCCCCCGAACAGCCTACACAATGGCGACTCTATCATACTTCGCAGCCCCCGCAGGCATGGCGAGGTAGGATGGATGAGGTAGACATGAAATAAGATGTATAAACAAAAACAATGTCGGAGGAAGGAAGAGGCAAGCGGGAGGAGAAGGAGTAGGTGGAGACAACGGTTTTCGATTCAATATTATCCTACGACGCGCCAAACCCATCTACAATAACTGGGGAGAGCAATTGCCTACAATGCCCACGGAAGATGGCATGGCAAAGGTCGGCACTCGCTGTGACATTATACATGAGAGGCTCACGCGCTGCGGGACTCACGGGACAAGTGAAATGGAAAAACTGCGCTGGGCAACCCTCGAAAGTGACGACACTTTCGCAGTTCGCAGCACACTGTGAGAGCGAGGGCCGACTCCCCTGTTCAGTACCCAATGTGCCCAGGAGGCCTCCAGAGGAGTCTTCAAGGGGCCTGCAAGATGCCCTGGGGGGTTCCACGAAAGACTCCACGAGATAGGTTGGGTCCCACGACCCAAGCACGTTGAAGGGATGGGCAGGGAGCCGCCATAGCCGCCGCCCCGTGTGCTTGCAAGAGGGAGCTTGGCGTCTCAGATGTGTGAATTTCGGCCCTCCCGAAAGGGTCCCAATGGCCTCCGGCCCAACCCGCTGGCCACCTGGAAACCACCGGAAAGCACACCGAATTCCACG